AATCAGTCAACATGAATTTAGCTATGATTAATAGCTATTATAATATATTCAACCAAGCACCTCCTCCAGATCAGGGTCCCTCTTAGTGATGACTGTACTTCTTTTATGAATCTCTCTACCATATGTAATGTGAAGTGATTGTTGGTTTTTATGTTTTTTTATTTTATGTGATGTGATGTTCAGTAATTTTTTTTTTATTTTTATGTTTTATGTGTTATAAATATCTGTGTATTGATATCATTCATGCTCAATGTAATATCATTCACTATGATATTAATAAAAAATTTCCTGCCTTTTTTTTAGTGTTTTTGATCTCTTTTAGAATATGTATTATCCTTAAAATATTGATCTAATAAGTGCTATATTTTGAAATGCAATATAAAATTGAATTCATTAGAAAATTAAATGAGTGGTGTCCACACTTCCTTTTTCAAAAGATCTCTTAAGTAGGAAAGTGCTTAACCTCTCATACCAAGCTCTAGGTGTTTGTTTCAATCAATACAATGTTTTTTTTTTAAAAAAAAACATGATTTGGGTATTTTAAATTTTCAAACCTGGAGATTAATCAACATTAACATCCTTTTAAAAAGATTGTTTTCTAGTGAGAGAAAAAATGTTCATTTTTTCAAAAATTCAACTCTCGCAATTTCTGTTCTTCGTCAATGTCGGTGGATGGCCGTCGGCCTCCACCACCCGACGCTATTGATGGTGGTTGGAATTCAACAGTAACTGATCGGTGGGAAACAGCAACAGGTAATGGTCTAGTTCTTAAGAAGATGGAGATATCAAAGGTTGAATACCATCGTTCGTCTTCTTCAATGGATAAGTCAAAGAAAAATTTGGCAAAAAATGAATTGTCTTATCCAAAATTGAAACAACAAGGACCACTGGTGATAAAGGAGGTATCAGAGCCAACTCCTACATTAATCAAGTATGTTTAAGGCAAAGGTAAGGCATTATTGGATTCTATTGATATGGTTACTCCAAAGACTCTGAAATCCTCTGTAATGGCGTCGGACAACACGGCATCTACCTCGGGAATGAAAATTTTTGTTAACCGATTCAGGAATTCAAATGCAATCCCTGGACTTTGTCGTAGCGTGATAAATGAGAATTCTCGGAATTTGGTTACCAACAATTTACATTCAAGGCTGGAAATGAAGAAAGTATTGGAGGAAGGTAAAGTATTTGAGGAATTGCCTAAAAGCACGGTAAACTTGGCAAAGGTGAATCCATGGAGTAATAAACCATACATAAAATTGAATTTTATTGAAAATGATGTGGTATTATCCGAAGATGGGAAAGCAGTGAGGCTAATTGAGGAAATGGAAGAGATGAACTCTAAGAAACTATCTAAGTCATTGGTTATTAAAGTCTTTGGAAGAAATTTACCATCATACATGGTTTCTTGGGAGCTTAGAAGACAATGGAACCAATTTGGTCAATTCCACTTTACTACATTGGGTAAAGGATGGTTCTTATGCTCATTTTCATCAGAAGAAATGTCATAAGCAGTTCATTCAGGAATGGAGAAGTAGACACGGGAATTTTCAACTGAATCTAATAAGGGGCTTTCTTCTCCAATTTGGATTAGAATGCCCCACTTACCTTTGCAATGTTGGGATGAGAAAAATGTAGCATGTATAGCTTCAAGGATTGGAAAACCACTTATCTTGGATGGTAATATGTTTCATTGGGGAAGAAGAGAGTTTGCAAGAATTTGTGTAAGGATTAGTCTGGATCAACCCCTTCCATTAGGTGTTTGGGTGGATAGCATTTCTGGAAGATTCTTCCAACCGGTGGAATATGAGAAGATTTCTAATTTCTGCTTTGGTTGTGGGAAGATTGGGTACATGGAAAATGATTGTGAGCTGAAGAATAATAATACAAAAATTATGAAGGTTTCTGTTGATAGCAGTAGCAGAAATGATATGGGTAAAGATCAAGAGGTTTTGAAAGAACCTAATTATGGACCATGGATAATGGTCAATAATAAGAAGAGGAGAAATTACAAGCCGGGTAGAAAGATGATTAATTCTTTTTCTAACAGATATGTTAAGAAAGCTAGTAATCCTGTTAGTGTTGAACAGGAGGTACATGATATCTTGAAAAAGGACTTTGATAAAAGCTCTAAACAAAATATCCCAAGGACTCTAGATGAGATGGCTAATAAAATAGAAGAGGGATCTGTCGAGGAAGAAATTCCTGATAATATGGAACAAATCTTTGTTCCAGTGGATAATATTAATCTGAATGTCAGCAGTAGTAACTGCTATGATCGGGCTATCTTACAGAAGAATGGTACCAGCATTAATGGGAAGGGTTGCTTGCGAACTCAGATAAATCCTTTGGGATTACCTACGAACTCTAGTACTCCCTATCAATCAAGTGATCATATAACTACTGATTCAAATATGGGTGAAGAATTGATCCATAATTCTTTGAACAGAGAAGCGTTGGCAGCAGATAATTGTTCAATAGAGGATGTTCCTGTGGACAACAGGAATTTGTTCTCTTTACTTCTAACAGTTGATGAAGAAGGGAAGGCTGTTGACTAGGAGGATAGAGAAGAAGGAGAACTATTAGAAGAGGGAAGAATTGCTGTTAAAGAGGTGTCTCAAAATGCCTGGAAGAATAAAATGAAAAAAGAGAGCAAAGGTGAAGAAATTCAGAATTCAGTGTTTGATGTGAAATTGAAAAAATCTGTTCCTGCAGCACAAAAATAGAAGTTGTTGAAAGAACTCAAACACTTGGGGCCTTTGAGTAATACAACCAGATCAAAAAAAGATGAAGCAATTCTTAAAGGTAAATGTGGGGGCCCTACCCCACCTTTATCAAAATGACTTCTCTTGCATTTTGGAATTGTAGGGGGGCAAATAAGAGGGAAGCCTCCCTTTACTTAAATGATTTTGTTAAAAATTGGGATGTTTTTTTTGTTGGGGTGGTTGAAACCAAAATCTCTTCCTTTGAGAGGTATGAAGTGAACAAATGTTTAGGTGACGATTGGGATTATTTTCTTTTACCCTTGGTCGGTGCTTCTGGAGGTATCATGGTTTTTTGGAAAGTAAAAATTGCAAAGTTTTCTTTGATCAAAGCTTCTTCTCAATGTGTGATTGGGGAGTTAAGCCTCTTCAATAATAGTAAGTGGTTGGTTTCTACTATTTATGGTAATAAAAATGCAATTTTAAGAAGGAACCTGTGGGAAGATCTAGAGGAAAACATCAATAAGAATATCCCTATGGTAGTAGGAGGGGATTTCAATTGTATACTTTCTCAAGAAGAAAAGAGAGGTGGGAAGAAGTTCTCTTTTTCTGAAGGTCCCCAAGAAATGGCTGCATTTATGGCAAGAAATGACCTCAATGATGTGGGAATTATGGGTCCCAAATTTACATGGTGCAACCACAAAAGTGGAAATGCTCGCATTCTTGAGGATTAGACAGGTGTCTTTTGAACTCCAAGGATCTAAACATGATACAAAATGCTATGGTAAGACATTTTCCAAGAATTGCTTCTGATCATTGTCCATTAATCCTTAGGATCATTCAGGAGAAGTTGTTACAAAACAAATTGTTTACATATGAAGACGTCTGGGCTACTTTTTTGGCTGCCAAAGGTATTGTCTTTAAAACTTGGAATAAACCGGTTAAAGGGAATGATATGGAAATTGTTAATGTAAAGTGTAAGAGGACCTTAAAGGCTCTTTATTACTGGAGTAGACAAAAGTTAAAGCATTTTAAAGAAAGCAATGACCAGTTGAAAAAGGAAATTGCTGACCTACAGTTAGAAGAAGCGAATGGGAATGGATTGGAAGCAGAGATGCATAATTTGCTTAGAGAAAAAATTCATGAACTCAACGTGAACTCGGCTCGGTTAAGCACCTGGTGGAGACAAAGAACAAAGCTTAAATGGATTCAGGAAAATGATACAAATTCAAAAATTTTCCATTCCTTTGCTAATGGTAGACGAATGGGAAACCTTATACACCAGTTGAAAAATTATAAAGGAACTTTAGTAGAGGACCACGTAGCAATTGAGGATATTCTTTTGAAATTCTTTAACAACAAATGGAGAAATAGAGATGACTATGTGAAGGGATGGTCGCCATTTTTGAATTCCTTATCGGCAGCTGATTGTAAAATATTAGAAGAAGCTTTCTCTTTTTCAGAATTTGCTGCAGTCATCAAAGAAAGTGGCTCTAACATTTCTCCTGGATTGGATGGCACTAATTATTATTTCTTCAAAAATTATTGGTATATAACTGGTAATGATGTTTGGAAAGCAATCCAGCAATTTTTCATTACTGAACGTATTTATTCTAGCTGGAAACAGACACTGGTTACCCTCATCCCAAAGGTACCGAATCCAACTTCTCCATCTGGTTTTCGGCCAATTAGCATGTGTGGTACATTATATAAGATTATAGCCAAAATGATCTTAAATAGAATTATGAAGGTGATTGGTAAACTTATCTCGGAGGAGCAAATGGCATTTTTAAAAGGTAGTTCCTTGTCTAACCACATTCTTTTAGCTCAAGAATTGTTTAATAAGCTAAAGATTTCAAAATCTAAAGAAGGTTGGGTGGCTATTAAGCTTGACATGGAACAAGCTTATGATAGTATGGCTTGGAACACCTTGAGACTTATTTTGAAAAAAATGGGATTTCCATCAAAATTTTAAATCTTATTATGGAATGTGTTGAATTTCCTGAATTCTTTTTGTTGATTAATAGAAAGATCTCCAAAGGGATTAAATCTTATAGTGGATTTAGACAAGGTTGTCCACTATCCCCTTATTTGTTTATCCTTTGCTCTCAATTGTTAAATCTTATAGTGGATTTAGACAAGGTTGTCCACTATCCCCTTATAGTGAATTTAGACAAGGTTGTCCACTATCCCCTTCCCAATCAAAAGATAGCATTGAACTGAAGAGAAAATTCTTGGGAAAAAGCATTACTTCCTTGGCTTCATCTTATAAGTCTGAAGATAACAGAACTGTTGATTATGGAGTATGGCTTAAAAAAATTGAAGCTCAATCCTAGAATTGAATGTTTTTGGTGGCGACTTCTCAATGAGGCAATTCCAACCAATGGTTTCATAATGAACCGAAGATTACTGGGACATAATTTATATCCAAGAGGCTGTGCGGAACAAGAAAATACTGAACATGTCATGGTTCAATGTCATAAACTGCAGCAACCCATTGGAATTCTCAGAAAATGGGGCTTTGCATGCCTGATGTTTTGCTCTGCAAATGATGGTAAGTATCATTTGGATAGATTATCTGAGTATAATAGATCACTGGCAAATTTATATTGCTCTCTAGTTTATTTTTCATGGAAGAGTAGGAATTCAATCAAGCATGGAAAGAATGAATGGAGTTTGAACTTCATTGCCGGCAATGCTATTAGTTATGCATCAATTGCTTCTTACAATCTATTTATGGATCACTGGGATGCTAACCAGCCATCAATGCTAAATTCTTTTTGGCATCCCGCTCCCCTAGAATGGATTAAGGTAAATCTTGATGCAGCATTAACTACTAACAACAACGGAGGTATATGTGGAGTTTTCAGAGACTCTAAAGGAAAATTCTTACTTGCTTTTGGAATCAAATGCATGCATTGGGATAGTGGCACTATGGAGCTTATGGCCATTCGTTCATTGAAGAAATTCATCTGTAATTGGATGTTGGATGCAAAGGGTCTAATAATAGAAGCTGATAATTTCAACATTATCAAACTTCTACAAAAATCAATGAATAAAGAATCTCGGTTTCTTCACAAAGAGGAGATTGAAGACCTATCATTTTTTGTTGGATTTGGTAACATCTATTTCACTTTGTTAATAGAAACTGTAATAAGTTAGCACACAATTGTGCTAACTTTACATTACTTGAAGATTTTCTTTGGGAAGATCTTAGTAATAATAAGGTTCCTCCTTTTTTTTAATGTTCTAAAGGAGGAATGTGATAGGTTCTCTATCACATAATAGCTTGAAATTGTTTTCTTTTTCCTCTTTAATGCAATTTAGCATTCCCTTCAAAAAAAAACATTAACATCCTTTTGAATCACCACATTCAAAATGATACTTTTAACATCCATTTGAAATAATTTGAATCCTCTAAAATAAGCAAAGGATAACAAAACTCTAATTGCTTCAAGTCTCACTACATGGGCAAAAGTCTCCTCAAAATAAATCTCTTTAATCTGATTATATCCCTTAGCCACTAATCTAGCCTTATTTCTAACGACAACTCCTAAGTCGTTCATTTTATTTTTGAATATCCACTTAGTTCCAACTACACTTTGATCTTTTGACCTTGCAATTAATTCTGAAACATCATTTCTCACAATTGATTTAATTCTTCTTGTATTGCCAAAATCCAAAATTCATCCGAAAGCACTTGATTTATATTTATGGGTTCTACTATTGAAATAAAGGTAGAATGATTGACTTATTTTTTTGGTCTGTGCCTAGTCCTAACACCCTTACTAGGTTCACCTAAAATCAAATTCTTAGGGTGGTTTTTAGAAAGTTTTAAATCTCGAGGCAACGGGTTTTCTTTCTCCATATTTTTTTCCAAAATAATCTTCTCAATTTTCTGGGAATTATTTTCTATTTCATCCTCTTCCAAATTTGACTCTTCTAAAATTCCATATTCATCAAATACAACATGTCTAGTCTCCTCAACTATCAAAGTTCTTTTGTTAAACACTCTATAAAATTTTTCAATACTAGGGTATCCAAGAAAAATTCTTTTATCGGATTTTGGATCAAATTCTCCTAAGGTAGATTTTTCATTATTATGTATGAACACCTTACATCCAAAAACATGAAAATGTGACAAATTAGGTGTTCTCTCCTTAAGAAGCTTATAGGATATTTTATTTAATTTTAATCTAATGTTCACCCTATTCAGAATATAACATGCAGTGCCAACCGCTTTAGCAAAAAAATATTTAAGAAGTGAATATTTTTCCAATATGGCTCGAACGGCTTTAATTAATATTATATTCTTCATTTCAACTATCCCATTCTGGTGAGTGGTTTTAGGTGTAAAAAAATTGTGATCAATCCCTTTTTTTTATAAAAATCCTCAAATTTTACATTTTTAAATTCACTATCGTGATCACTTTGAATCGTTAAAATCTCACACCCTAATTTTCTCTAATCCAAGTCAAAAAATCACTAAATTCCTTAAATGACTCACTCTTATGAAATAAAAATTTAATCCACGTGAATCATGAGAAATCATCTACAATCACAAATCCGTATACCTTCCCTTCTAGGCTAACAGTGCTAATTGGTCGAAAAAGATCCATATGAATAATCTCCAAAAATTTACTAGTTTTAAGATCCATATTAGATTGAAAAGTGGATTTCACCTATTTTCTTAATTGGCATGCATTGCAAAGGTGATCCTTAATAAAGTCTAGTTTTGGTATACCTCTAACTAAATCCTTTTGGGTAATTTTCCTAGGATTTTTCATGCTAGAGTGACTGAGTCTCTTATGCCATAATCATGAATGATCAGAAATAATTTTCAAACAAAAAGCATTAGGAACTGAAATACAATTCAAATCTAACATATAAATATTATTTACCCTTTTTCATACAAAATATCATTACCATTGAGCCTTAATATATAGCCAGTGGGAAAAAAATTTACATTGTACCCTTTATCATAGAGTTGACTTATACTTAATAAATTATGTTTTAAGCCTTCTACAAGTAGTACATTTGAATGAAAAAATTTTACAAGTTTCTGATCATACCTATACCAACCACTTTCCTAGTGGTGTTATCTCCCTACCTCTACTTCTATCTTCCAGCGATATAAATTATGTAGTGTCTCCAGTCATAAGCTTTGAGCAACTACTGTCTAGGTACCAAATGCTCTCATAAGGTCTTGTGTGAGAGCGTACCTGCAAAACTATCAAATGTTAGACTTGGGAACCCAAATAAGTTTGGGTTATTCTTTTGGCAAAATAAAAATAGATGTATGTATGATATGACTTAGTTTATGAATCTTTGGTTTTCACACTAAATGAGTTTTTCTATGTAAAGTACAAGTGTGTGCTATATCTCAAATCACCCCACAAGAAAAACATTTTACTCCAAGAAATGGTTTTCTTAATTTTCTATAAAAACTTTGATTCTTCCTGAGTTTTAAAAAATTTGTCTACAAAATAGGATTATTAAAATCTTCAAGTGTTGGTGGTATCTTATTTTTTTTCAAGAGCTTTTACTTTCAATTTAAGAAATGTGCTTAAATCTTTTTACACATTCTTACTATAATTCAAATATTGCTCTCTACTCTCTGATTCATCCTTAAATTCTTTTCCAATTGAGTATAGGATGATTTTAAAAGATCATTCTTTTTATTCAAGTCATCAAATTCATCAAGTAAACTTATATGGTTGTTATCTATCAATACGTGATCTTTTCTAAGAATTTCATGCTCATTTTACAATTCTAACATTTCAAGATTTAAACTAGCATGCATTATTTAAGCTTTCTATATACATCATAAATTCTTTCAAAAACTTTTAATAATTCATTATAAGTTAAGTCACATATCTCTTATTGATCTAATTGATCAAGATTGTCAATCATTACGAACAAATTGATGACTTCTTCCTCCTTTTCAATTTCTAATTAATCTGAAGCTAAATCTGCCCAAAAAACTCTCTAAAATCTCTTCTTGCCCTTCTTCACATTTGCTTTCTCCTCTACCTTCTTCTTGCTAGGAGTGGCTTTGAGATTGGGGCAATCCTATTTTATATGTCCAGGTTTTGTACAATCATAACAAATCACATCATTATAAACCTTAAAATTTTTATTATACTTACATATGTTCAACTACTAGCATCTCCTATGCTTCCTTTTAAGAAAGCTCTTGAGTCGTCAAAGTAATGTCGTCCTCATCCTCAGGTTGTGATTAATCACTCTTCGATTCCTCCACATTCAGTTCTATGTTCTTCTCCTTTTATTATTCTCATACATCAATCTTTCTTTGACTCACTCCTTACTCGTAAGCAATTAGTGATCCAAGAAGATTGTCAATAGAGTAAACATTTAAATCTTTAAACTCTATAATCACAATTATTTTAGCATCAAAAGCAGCAGGCAAATAATGAAGTATTTTATTCACTAATTTAGCATTTGTTAATTCCCTACCTAATGCATGAAAAGAAGTGACTATATGAGTGGATCTTGTATACATTTCAGAAATAAATTCATTTGGTTTCATACAAAACAATTTATAGTCATATAACAAGATGTTTAGTCTAGATTATTTTACTTCATTAGTCCCTTCATAAGTAATATAAAGTCTATCCTATATATCCTTTCCACTTTTGTAAGTAGAAACTCAAATGTAATCTTTTGACTTAAGTGCACAAAAAAAATGTTTAGGCATTTAGTATTTAAATATGCTAAGTCACGTTGCTATATAGTTCAGTTAGCAAAAGGTATTTCAACTCTAATATCATTAATCAATCTAGTTAGTTTTGTATACCCTTCTTAAACTAAAATCCACATACAAAAATCTAGTGACTAAAAAAATGTAGACATACGTGTTTTCCAAAAATCGAAAGAGATATTATCAAATAATGGAGGTTTAATGATCGAGTACCCTTTGAATGTAATTTGGTTTCCAAAAGTATCCATGATTATTTTTTAAAAAGTAGTTTAAGCTTATAGTTTTGAAACAAAGCTCTGATATCATTTGTTGAATCTTGATTAGGTTGTTAAACCTAAGCTAATGTCCCAAGGCTAATCAAGAGTGGGGTGAATTGGTAATTTTAAAAAGTTACTTTTGGATTTTAAAAAAAATGAAAACCTTTAAAGATTCGTAGCAAGTTAATTGTTAATATTTGAAAATAAAATTTTTAATGATAGAATAAAAATTTATCGTAAATAAAATACAAAAATTTAAATGATACAAAGATTTATAGTGGTTAGGTCTAACACGACCTACATCCACTCCCTGAAGACTCCCTCTTCAGGTATTGCACTATTACAAAAATTGTCTCTCCTTTTGCCACCACAACAAGACAGAGAAGCCTTTATAAAACTCTTTTCCACCAATCCTCGGAGCGATAGAGAATTGTCATCCTTTCACACTCTCCAAGTATAGGAAGAGAACCGTCATCCTTTCACAGTCTCCATGTGTTGGTAGAGAACCACCGACTGTTCACACTTTCCAAGTGTTAGCAGAGAACTGTCGTTCTTTCACACCCTTTAAGTGTCGGCAGAGAACCAAATCTATTTAAAAGATCATCTCACGAGAAATCTAGAAAGATAAGAGGAAGAGTGAAAAACATAAATCATATAGAGATCCTTATCTTTGAGTAACTTTGTAAACTATTCACACTCCACTAGCAAGAAATCTCTCTCAAACACTCTCTCACACTCTCTCATTCAATTTCCCTTGAAAAATCACAAAGACAAGACTTTTTACATCAATTTTTAGTAAATCTTTTATACAAAAATTATCCAGAAAACTAAATTTTACAAATTTTGAGCGTACACGATCATACAGTACGATTGGATTTTTTATGTATGAAAATTTCAAATATTGCTATGTATGACCCGGTTATGAATCAATATAAAATCATTTTGTACTCAATCATCATCCGGTACAAATCAAGTTCATCCGGGATGAACAATTAGAAAATTTTCTGTTGAGTCTAGTGAATAGGTTGTTAAACCTAAGTTAATGTCCCATGGCTATCAAGAGGAGGGATAAATTGGTAGTTAAAAATTATCCCTCTTTTAGACGAGTTGAACCGAAAATAAATTTTAATGAATTTTTATAAAACGTTTTTTGTTGCAAATCTATTTTCATGACCTTTGTTTTGATGATTGACAAACACTATTGATTCTCTTGGACTACTTGTTTCTTCTAACTTTTCAGGAATCAAAGATCGAACGAACAGACGAAGCTAGTTCAGGATTTTGTAGGTTTAGGGTTGAGTCAGTATATACTTTTGTTTGTTAATTCTTGAGTCTACTTGTAATG